AGCAATCGATCCACATACCTTTGCATTTTCTGCATGTGGCTCGTGACGGAATCCCCGTCCTTCATCATGGTTGTTATCATGGAGCAGATGATTTCGTACCTCTCTTGTCGTGCACTTTGATGGTATCTTTCCATCAAATCTTGGTGCATTTCATAAGGGTAGAAATCCTCATAGGACTTTTGGAGTTCTGCTGTCATTGTGGCCATCATGATGCATGCTACTTTCGTAGCATCCCTTTCATGTGCCTGAAAGTCAGCGATCTCCTGAGGAGTTGCAGTGGTCTCATCAATCTCCTTAAGCTCCTTATCGAGGACATATTCTTTGTCCTCGTAGCGGGTAATCATCCTGATGTTTCTGATCCACTCATTGAAGTTGGATCCATCAAAAGTGACTTTCCCACACAAGCTCATAAGAGTAAAGGAGCCATTAGGATTCGAGCCAGAAGCAGCATTGTTTGAAGACATCTGAAGGAAGAGGACAAGATTAGTTTAGATATTAAGATAGTCCTTAATAAAACACCCAAATGTAATATTAAGGCTAGGATCCAATCACAATATATTATAACTTAGAAGAGGTATGCCGTAATCCAAGCTATAACATATTTGAAAGGTAGGTGAATGACGATTCACCAATTTCCACCACGAAACCGAAATATTAGATATTAGGTTTTATGATTGGTTCTTAGAAATTCCTAGATTCTTTGAGATTCAATGAACTTTTCAAAGGCATGTTTCAATCTCGAGTGTGCCCTCCAAGTTTTGTGACTGGGATACCGAGGATCACAAAACGAGGTGTGAAGTAACCATGCAAATCACTTGGTACCCTTAAAGTTTATCACTCAATCGATGTGCCGGTAAACCACACACGCTCCACCGATACTATAATAAACCTTAAGTCACCCTTTACCTACCTTGTTAAGTCCAAGTTAGTGTGCCGGTTAACCACACACGCTCCACCAACGACTTAGACAAAGTGTAAAGTGTAATTTCATGGATTAGCACCTTATTCACATTTTTCCTAAAGTAACTAAGATTGGGAATTTAATAAAACATTTAGTTACTTTATAATATTCATCATACTTTGAATGAGAATTTATAAGTCCTTGTCTTACCCGTTCGGCTAACGACCCTCCACCAGTCAAGCAAGCGGTGGGTGAGAGTAGACACCCATTAAGTCACCATTTTATAGGCAACAACCTTATACCCACCTTATAGACGGCTTCGTGAATGAGGCGTACTAGCGGTAAGACGACTTTGTTCTTATACATATATATATATATATTATTATTAACATCATAATATAAGTATAAGGATTGAATTTTAAATTTTAAAATTCTAAGGGTTGGAACTAAAGTTTTAACTAACTTTACTTGTTCCAAAACTTGAGGGCAAGTTTTGTAACTTTCAAAACTTTTCATTTCTTGTAACTTATGAGTTTAATAGAGTAATAAAATGAAGACTCTTCATTTTCTAACTCTTGTGTTCTTTAATGGTTTTAATTCAAGTGTGACTCTTGGTTTTCCATAACTTGAGGACAAGTTATGGACTCCATTAAAACACATTATGATCAAGAATTAATCTAACCACATATGTTACAAATAATTCCTATGATCATTAAAACATCATAAGAACAAGAACATGAATATGAACACATTCATAAATCAAAATTACACTTAAAACTTTGTAATTTTGATAACTAGTTGTTGTAAATGAATTAGAAAGAACATTACACCATCAAAATAAGTTTTCAAGTACCAAAACAGTTTAGGGTAATGTTTCTAGTCCATTTCCAGCAACTAAAGTCGAAATTCTGCAATCTGTCGACCCTACTCGCCGAGTGCATGAACTTACTCGCCGAGTTGGTTGAAGCTACACGTGAACTCGACGAGTCCCCCCTATGGACTCGACGAGTCCATTCGTAGACAGCAATATTTTCGACTTTTTTCAACTTTTAAGCACAAATAAAAAGCAAACAAGCCTAGGCTCTGATACCACTGATGGGTTTTGAGCATTCTAACACTTCCTAAGTGTACATGCAACCCTAATAACCTTGGATCTATGTTTGTCTAATTATCATGCAAAGTTGAATTCCAAGGCTATATTCCTATCTAGCATACATGGGGAACAATTTTAACTTGAATGATTGACATAATAACTTACCTTGTTGTTGCTTGTGTTCCTTGAAACCTTATGAGCCTAGCACCCCAAGTTTATGCCTCAAATGCTTCACACAACACCAAATGCTCTTGGAAAGACTTTTGAGAGAATGCACACTTCTTGAAATTGGCCAAGCCCTCTTGTTTCCTTAGTGTAGCCGATTTTGGTGGAGAATGAGATCCTTATATAGTGTTGACACATCTAGGGTTACACCATGTAAACCCTAATGTGTCATGACTCTTCATTTCCATGACCCATGGGTTTGTAACTCCCATGGAGCATCCATGGAGCATCCTATGGGTGGAACCCAACTTGATAATCCATGGAGCCTCTTAGCCCACTATACAAGATATGGATGATTTACATAATCAACCCATATATTTAATTAGTTATCTTTTGATCACTTAATTAATTCTAAATTAATTCTTGATCAAACTAATCAAATAATATTATTAATATATTAGAACTTATAATATATTAATAATCTCCAAGTGTTATTTCTCTCATTTAGTCTATCCAGTTGCATGGTGCCATGCAACCCAAATAGACCATGCCAGGTCGGGTCAAGTACATACCAGAAATAGTTATGGACTTAGACACCTTATCCAACAACAACATCTCAAACGGAGGTCGATCGATATTGACATGGTAACTATTGTTGTATGAGAACTCTGCCAATGGGAAGTATGTATCCTAACTACCTCCAAAATCCAATACGCATGGCCGAAGCATATCCTCAAGTGTCTAGATCGTTCTCTCGCTTTGGCCATCTGTCTGGGGGTGATATGTTGTGCTAAAATGCAACTGAGTGCTCAGTTCCTCATGGAATTTCTTCCATAATCTAGATGTAAATCGAACATCTCTGTCAGAGACTATCGACACTGGCACCCCGTGTCTCGCCACCACCTTTCATACATAAATATCCGCCAATCTCTCAACATAGATGCTCTCAGAGATCGGAACAAAGAAGGCACTCTTCGTTAGTCTATCCACAATAACCCATATGGCATCCACAACCCTCGTTGTCCTCTGTAACTTCGTAATGAAGTCTAGAGTGATCTCTTCCCACTTCCACATGGGAATGGGTAGCGGCTGAACCTTGCCATGAGGCTGCTGGTGCTCGGACTTGACCTTCTGGCAGGTCAAGCAGCGTTCCACGAACCAAGCGATCTCCAGCTTCATGCAGGGACACCAGTAACTCAGCCTCAAGTCCCTATACATTTTTGTAGCCCCTGGATATATGGAGAACATAGACTTGTGTGTCTCCTCTAATATTTTTTTATCTCAATCCTCCTAATGCTGGAACCCACACTCGACCACACTAGGTTAAGAGACCCCTACCATCCTGGACAAATAGAGGAATTTGGCCCCGTATCTGCTCTAACTTCCAATTTTCCTTCTTTAAACCCTCCAATTGAGCCTCCATGATCGTATCCAACAATGGCGAGATCACTTTCATCCTCATACAAATGTTCTCAATTGGGGAACCTGTCGTATTGCGGCTCAAGGCATCGGCCACTACGTTGAACTTCCCTGGATGGTATAAGATCTCACAGTCATAATCTTTCAGTACATCCAACCACCTCCTTAGTCGCATATTGAGGTTATGTTGATCCATCAAGTATACCACCAAATCATCTAACCCTGAGATCTAAGCTTATAATCATCTAACCCTAAACCTAGATCTAAGCTTATAATGATCAAGATTCAAGCTTTATACCTTCAATAGGTTGGAAATGATGCACAAGCTCTGGATCTACAAGCTCCTTCTTCTCCCTTGCTTCTTCCCAAACTTCCTTCTCCTTCAAAGCCACTAAACAACACCACAAACACTCAAGGAAGCTCACAAATGCACCGAGGATGGATTAGGGTTCAAGATTTGCACTAAAAGAGTGATGGAGGCTGAAAGGGTAAAGATCTTAAGGGATTTAAGGTCTTTAAATATGGTGCAAACCCTAAAAATTATGGTTTTCCCCTGACTTGATTACGTCCAACGTACGCATAGGTACCCCCAACGTACGCCAAGGGTCCCCCGATCGCGCGCATGCAACGAGTACATCGTGCGTACCTAATGTACGCCCAACGTACTCAAAAACCCTCTATCACCTTAATCTTGAATTAAAATATACTAAGTCAGAAACTTCATTCCTGGCAACTCGGGTGCTACACAATCAAGGCTACCGATCATTCCTGGAAATGCATGCCTCTCTTCATGTGTCAAATACAATCTCTTAATATCACATGCAATAGATTTACACAAATATTCGTTTGTGAAAAACCTCATACACATATACGCAAAAATAATCTACACACTTAATTGTGATCTGCTCAGATACTTTCAAGTACTTGTCTGTTACATCAAAGGCTATACCATATCCTAAATATCTAAACGCAACCGCACATTTTTGTATACTACTAAAGTCCATTTTACCTCTAGCATCGGATTTTTGCTTAAAAAATCATATCGCACCTACAAAACATTACTAGTACGTAAAAATGATGCCCTATTCAGACGAAAACAACGTTCGAATGTTGAATCATGATAAAGACAATTATCAGCAAAATAATCACATACCAATAAACCGTGTGTGATTTGGCAATCTCGATTCACAACCTCTCTTGTACGCAAAAATACATACATTTTTCATTGTCTATGTATTGCTCAACATTAAAAAACATAGAGATAAATTCTCCATCATCATCCAAATCAGAATTTATAAAAAATTTCATCAATATTATATGTTGGAGAGTATAAATAGAAGAATGGTTTGTTTGAAAATATAATGCTAGAATGTTGTGTTATATAGGTAAATTTTATTTATTAAAAGAAAAATTGACCGTTCAAAAATGATCATCCCCTCTCGTTAGTCGTGGTCCTCCGTCGTCCCCACCACAATTCTCCATGACAACAAAGAACCATCGAGAGTCGGGATAGTGTGTACCCCATTGTTTGTTGCCACATCTAATTTCCAAGTTTGTTTGATTTAAAAAATTATAATAATAATAACATTGATTAAAAATAATCATTTATACATATAAATACCCATCACTCTCTTGGGATTCAGCTGATTGTACAATCGAAAAAGGTATCCGATATTCTCTCCGCATAGGTACCGTTTAATTCCACCATTTTTTCCGACAAAATGCCTACAGGAAAGCTTGAAGTCCTCCTTGTCAGCGCTAAAGGCCTCCAAGACACCGATTTCTTCAGTAAGTTTTCCGATTTATCCCGATCGTGACTTTTTAGTTAGATTTGATCATGTTTGTTAAAAGAAAATGGAAGATTAGCTTAAGTAGTACTTCATGATTTAGATCTGATGTTTCTAACCATATAAATCATTGATTTTATGAAGAACAATTAGGTAGAAATAAGAATCGGAAGTTGATGTAATGATGAATAAGTAGAATTAAAAATGTTTCACATGATTAAAGTTATTTGTATCTTAAGAGGAATTTTGGAGGGAATAATGAAGCGAAAATGTGAGTCAGAGCTTGATGTAATGGTGATCGAGTAGAATCGAGTGTACTTTATCGAAATCTGTACGACAAAACAATAGGAGTAAACTATGGCCTCTATCCGATTATGCTTGTTTTTCTACTGAATTTTGATCGATTACGTTTTGATCAACGATCAGATTATAGAATAACAAATCATAAATCATATGAGGAGGTTTGGAGGGAATTCCGGTGTATGAGTGAAAAGTCGGAGCTTCAAAGCGCCCGTTGACCGGATGACAGTTCATAATCTTCATTAGTGATCGTTCTGATCTAACATTTTAATTATTCATATTCATAATGTTCTTACACTAGTGTTCTTCGTTTCAATTGTCCAATGAACGTTAAACATTTGTCTACAGCAAAAATGGATCCTTATGTGACAATCACATGTAGAACTCAGGAGCAAAAGAGCAATGTCGCATCAGGTTAATTACTTACCAGTACGATATCTCAAAAATCCTTTCAACAATCTTCCGTTTATGGTTATAGACTTCTAATCTAATCAAATCTTCTTCCTCAATGGATACTTAATCAAACAGGACAAGGATCTTCACCTGAATGGAATGAGACATTTGTATTTTCTGTTTCTGGTGAAGTGGAAGAACTTGTGATCAAGATAAAGGACAGTGATGTTGGATCTGAAGATGATCTTGTGGGAGAGGCTAAGTAATATACAATTTCTTCAAAACTCATATGATTTAGCAAATAAGAACAGAGTTAATTAGCATTAGCAAATTAACACTTGTGATTTGTTCTTGTTATGAATGCAGAATTCCACTTGAGACATTGTTCGTGGAAGGAAATATCCCACCAACACCATACAATGTGGTCATTAATGATGAATTCTGTGGGGAGATTAAAGTTGGCCTTCAATTCATTCCAGAGGTATAAGTTGATTCGTAACCTTTTTTTTTTTTTTTTTTTTTGTGATTCATTTAACATTTCATGAGTAAATTATATATTAATTATTACTAGAAAGTAAAAAGTTATTATAAGATAACAACTCGGGATGAATTGAACGGTTGAATTAATATGCTATGTTGACCCGTTTTTACTAAAACAGACAATAATAATTATTACTATTATTATTATAATAATAACAATAACAATTAACAACTTGTCGCTAACAATAATCTAATTGTTAAAGGATACAAATGAAGACGGGTATCATCAACATGGTGAAGAGGGAAACTTTGGAGGATGGAAAGAATCTTCATATTAAAACAATGGATCATAATTTTATATTTATTGATCGGTATCAGTTGTGTTATTTTTAATTTTTTTTTTTAACTTTTTTCTGGAAAGAAAAAAAAAACAAAAGTGAAACTTTGGCGACTTTCCTCGTTGTTTTAGTTCGAGCTTTGTGTGTGCTTGATTTTATTGGGGATTATTTGACTTTAAGTTGAACGAAAATTGTGTTTGTGATTTGTATACATTAATCCTTTTTTTTTCTATGTTAAAGAGACTTTTTTTGTTAAGTTTTAGGATAATTGTTGTATAAGCAAGAAATATGCATCATCGCATACGCAACTTTGAATAAAAGTATGTTTGGTAAACTATTTGTAATAACTAGGGGTGAGCAAAATACCGCACCGCAACTAAAATTAACCGCAAGAAACGTATAAATCTCAATCGTAATAAAAACCGATGGTGAGGTTTTCTGTTTTTCAAAAACCGCAAATTTGCGGTGCAGCTCGGTTATTAGTTTTCAAAAACCGCACCGCACCGTATATATTCTATATAATTTTTTTTATTAAGTATTATTATATTAAATATTAAAAATAAAATAAGTTTCATGGATGAAAGATTGATAAAATACTAGAAGACAAAATTTTGGTTTTTTGTTATGTTTACCTTTGAAAAATGATGAAGTTAGATAATTTTAAGATATTTATTGTTCATTACTATTGATTTGATGTTTTTAAGATATTTATTGTTTATGATTTAAGTTTACTGTCTTATACTTTATGTTTTTTTTTATCATTACAAGTAATATTTTTGAACTCTTAAAATTGTTTGAGCTCTAAACTGTAGTTAAAAATCACACAAAATAATCGCACCAAATCCATGCGGTTAATAACCGCAACATAAAAAAAATAAATCGCACTACAAAAATAACCGCCTAACCGCACCGCAAAAATACCCGCACCAAACGGTTTTGAAAATTAATTAACCGTATTTGCGGTTACTGGTGAGGTTTTGGCTAATAACCGCACCGAACCGCACCGCGCTCACCTTAGTAGTAACAGTTAAAGATTGAATTTTTTTGAAGTACACAACCCTTAAAAAAAGACAAAATTACAAAAATGGTCCCTATGGTTTGTCAAAAGTAACAAAGTCAGTCACTGCTAATTTTTTTATGCAAATGGCCCCTGTGGTTTGCAAAACTTGCATAGATGGTCATTTTTACTAACGTCGTTACTATTCTGCCATTAAGGACTGGATCTCTAAGGGTATTTTTGTTTTTTCAAATATAAAGTGACTGAATTCGTGACATTTACTAAACCACAAGGACCATTTTTGAAATTTCTTTAAAAAAAAACAATTAAATTGCTAGGGGGAGGGCTCGAACTCATGACCTCCGATCCTTGAATTAACAAAGCCTTAACCAATTGAGTTGAATGTTCTCTTGGTTTATTCTTTCCTAAAACTAATTTATATATTAACAAAATCGTTAAAACATAAACAATAAATAAATTATAAAAACCATTTTTTTACATATATTTTTTTAAATAAAACAAAATGTATTTTAGTCGTACTATAAAAAATAGTTTCTTACAAACAAATTGTATTTTTATGTATTTATTTTACGTAAAATATATATTTTTTGTCTTTAAAAAATAAGTTTTTGTAAAAAATGTTTTTTTATATCTGTGAAATAGTAATAATTAACACTACTCATGACATAAAAATATATAAATTCTTTTGGGTCGTTAGTTCTAACCGTTTTTTCAGTTATATGTATTAAAAACAAATTAACAACGATTTTGTTATGTATTTAAACAATTTATACGGTTTTTTTATGTTAAGAAAACTCTTAATAATTGTTACTTCAAAAAGATATACCACTATATCTTTCCATCTTAATTTTAAACATGCGATTTAGAACTTGTGATTAAGATGAAATACGTATTTTAAATAAAATATATAACCAATATGTTTTTTATGTTATTTTAAATACATATAAAAAACCATATGTGTCTTAAATAAGATATATACATATTCGGTTATATGTATTTTAACCGAATAGGTTTGTTATGTATCTAAACAATTTATACGGTTTTTTATGTTTTTTTAATATGATTTAGAACCATACATATTTTAAATAAGATATATACGTATTCGGTTATATGTATCTAAACAATTTATACGGTGTTTTATATTTTTAAATACGATTTAGAACCATACGTATTTTAAATAAGATATATATATATATATATATATATATATATATATATATATATATGTGTGTGTGTGTGTGTGTGTGTGTGTGTGTGTGTATTCGGTTATATGTATCTAAACAATTTATACGGTTTTTTTTATGTTTTTTTAAATACGATTTAAAACAATACGTATTTTAGATAAGATATATACGTATCCGGTTATATATATCTAAACAATTTATACGGTTTTTTATGTTTATTTAAATACGTATTTCATCTTAATCACAAGTTCTAAATCATATGGTTAAAATGAAGATGGAAAGACATAGTGATATATCTTTTTGAAGTAACAATTATTAACACTACTCTTGACATAAAAAATAAAAATAAAAAAACCGTATAAATTGTATAAATTGTTTAGAAACATAACAAAATCGTTGTTAATTTGTTTTTAATACATATAACCAAAAAAACAGTTAAAACTAGCGATCCAAAAGAATTTATACATTTTTTATGTCATAAGTAATGTTAATTATTACTATTTCAAAGACATAAAAAAAACATTTTTTACAAAAATGTATTTTTTATACGAAAACGTATTTTTTAAAGAAAAAAATTATATATTTTACGTAAAAAAAATACATACAATTTGTTTGTAAAAAAACTATTTTTTTTATAGTACGACTAAAATATATTTTGTTTTATTTAAAAAAAAAATATATGTAAAAAATGTTTTTTATAATTTATTTATTGTTTATGTTTTAACAATTTTGCTAATATATAAATTAGTTTTAGGAAAGAATAAACCAAGAGAGCATTCAGCTCAATTGGTTAAGACTTTGGTAATTTAAATGGTGGATGTCATGAGCCCTCCCCCTAGCAATTTAATTGTTTTTTTAAAAGAAAATTCAAAAATGGTCCTTGTGGTTTAGTAAATATCACGAGTTCAGCCCATTTATGCTTAAAAAAATGAAAATACCCTTACAGATTCAGTCCCTAACGGCATAATAGTAACGGCGTTAGTAAAAAGGGTCATATATGCAAGTTTTGCAAACCACAAGCGTCATTTGCATCAAAAAAATTAGCAGAGACTGACTTTGTTACTATTGGCAAACCACAATAATTATTTTTGTAATTTTGTCTAAGAAAATGAAGATATATTGTAATAGGAGTAAATAAAGTCTGGTGCATGATAAACAAAAATAATAATAATAATAATAACCTTATTTGAAATAATCTAAAGACTAATGAAAACAAGTCAACCAAACCAAACCGATAATAATAATAATTTCTCTGCCTTCATTGAGTGTTATTGAGTGTTCAACTGCCTTCATTCAGGGACGGATACAAGATTTTAGAGTAGTATTTATATCAATTTTTTTCATTCAAAATTTAATATTAGTTGCACATATTTTTTTAGTAGTTGCACCTTAATACAAACAATAAATAAATAAAATTACACTTATAAGCTAAAATCGAATGGTGATTCGGGATTACGACGAAGCCCTTGATCCTCCACTGCCTTTATTTGTGTACCTTGGTTTACCGGTGGGGGTAGAACATTAACCATATAGATCCTTGGAGGGTAGTTGTTGATCAGTTTGGGCAGAAGCTCTCACTTTGGAAAGCTAAATCTATTTCTATTGGAGGTCGTCTTACTTTTATGAAGGTTGTTTTGAGGAGCTTGGGAATCTATTGTAAGCCATTTTGAAGGTCCCCAACATGGTTTTAAAGTTGCCAGAGTCTATTCAGACTCGTTTCTTTTGGGGTGTGGATATGAGAGAGCATAAAGTCCATTAGATTAACTAGAAGAAAGTCATGTCAAGCAAAGTAGGTGGTGGTCTAGGAATTTCCAGTCTTTTTACTTATAACATGGCTCCTATGTTCAAATGAAGGTGACGATTGTTTGAAGAGAAAGATGCTTTTGTAGGTGAGCGTCATAAAATACTTGAATGATTCGGAGAAGCTCATTGGGCAAATTAAGCCTAAGAATTACCATATTGGAATGTAGCTCAAACTCATTTGGGCATTCAATCATCTTTGGCTTAAAGGTTTAGATTTGAAACATTATCAACAAATCATGATGAAGTGGAGGAAGTAGTCAAAAGTCAACTGATGTCGATGGTAGGGGCCGTTTTAACCTCCATAGCCACAAGACAAAGCTCTTTGCCAAAAGATGAAACAACACCTTTGTCGTTGATCGCACCATCTTCGGCGTCGATAGTGCCAATAGGCATTGATTCTCCTTCCTTCTCTTGTTTATGTCTTTTTTTTCTATATCTTTCTTTCTATCGAAGCTTGTCTTTCCCTATTAGCTACTAATTTCTCTGCGGCTCTCCTCCTGGATTACGATAGCACATAAATACTTAATAGGTTGTGTGTGTGTGTTTTCCCTTTGTGTTGAATCCATACACAACATGATATCCAGGTCTTTTAGTTGGGTAACTTTTGAAGTGCAAAACAAATTGCAAAGCCAATCAACATATGCTTTTGGGTCAATTCTCAAAACAAAAAGTTAGGGCTTACCTGTATATAAAAACATTGGAGATACAGAGGCGAAAAAGAGTTGATGGCCTGATTGGAGGAAAATTTTGGGCTTACTTGCATTCATACCTTCACAATCGAAGCCAAAATCGGGGGTATATCGAAGCATCAAACGCCTGTTTGTTTCAATTGTAAGAGAATACTGTGAGATTGAAATTGAATAGAAGAAGGTAGAGGAGAGGGATAATCAAGATGAAGTGGGATTCTTGGAAGCATCGATGACACCAATTGTAATGTAATTAGCTTACCGGGTTGGTGAAGCGGTGGAAGATTTAAATGTTCACCGGCCATTGATGTATCTGTTGATGCACCACGTGGAAAGGAAATCGAAAAAAAAATGGCATTGAAGAACTGTTCCTAAGGGAACATGAAATTTATATATATATATATATATATATATATATATATATATATATATATATATATATATATATAAAGAATTAATACTACTTATTATTATTATAACTAAAATTGTCACATCACTGTTTTGCGGGAAACACAGGACGGGAGTGTAAAATATGAATGACGTAAGCAATGACGTATAAAATCATTATTATTGAAGATATTATTGAAGACACTTGTCTTTTCAATGTGGAAGAGATTATATTATTAATGTAAATATTGTGTCGGTAGAATTATTTGTATTTGCCGTTGTATAATTATTGTTTATATTTGTCGGTAGAATATGACATAAAGTAGTGTCGGTAGGATGTAACATAAAGTGTAAGACCCTCTATAGTTTAAGGGTCTAAAATGTAAATATATGTTTGTCGTATTGCAATCATACGATTGCAACAATAATTGTAACCGGCTTTTTCGAGCGGGCATTTGCCCATAAGAAATAAACAAAAGATATTTGAGTGTTTAAGACTTGAGTTGAATCTCAAAGTTCTTCATCTGTTGAAATAGTTGTTCTATTTCTAAATAGTAGAGCCATATCCATATAAACATCCATATAACTTAAACAATTCATCCCGACACTTCATTCAGGTATAATCATATCCTAACTTTCTTTTAATTCCATCATGTCTTTAATTTTGGTATCATAATTAAGTAACGTTCTTATTATTATTTTGCATATTCAATCTTTCGTTCATAAGAATATATGCATGTGCAGCATCATAAACATGATAATGAATATTCATCGTTTTACATATTTGTTCATAAATACTCATATTCAAAAGTCATCGTTATTAAAAATCAATTCACCAACAATTGAAACAATTGTGGTAAGAAGGTTGTAATATCATTATGAATATGTACCAAGAAGTTAAATTCACAATTCATCTTTCATAAAAGGTTTCAACTCTGTGTATTACAAATTTAATATCATCACCCTACTATATTAAATTTTGAAAACTTTATTAGTAATTTTGAAGAACATTATCATTTTGTTTTTATAAGGTTTAATCATGAGTTTTGTAAGTTTAAATATTAATAAACAAGAACTAAATTCTTTTTGTAAAACATTAAAACAATCTAAAAAAATTCTATTAAACTTAAAGCTAGATTTTGATATATCGATAATCAATTGTATATCTAACATTGAAGCAATACATATTATAAATAATAGTACAAATTGGAAACAAGAACAAATAAAAAATCTTGAAGATAAGATAACAAGATTAATTTGTTAAAGATGTCTCAAGAAATAGAAAAATCATTAATAATAACTACTTTGTTAATAAAAAGAAACTAAAGATTTCATTTTTAAAAATACACACAACTTATTAATATAGAAACTATACAAGAAAAAATAAAAACACTAACTAAATTATTTGCATCATTATTATCTGAATTATTTTCTATTTCTGTATTATTTTCTTGAATTTCGGATGGAATTTCTAATGCCGCAAGTAATTTAGTTAGTATTTCTACTTTTTCTTGTAAAGTCTCCATATTAATAAGTTGTGTGCATTTTTAGAAATGAAATCTTTAGTTTCTTTTTATTAAAGAAGAAGTTATTATTAGTGATTTTTCTATTTCTTGAAACATATTTAACAAATTAATCTTGTTATCTTATCTTCAAGATTTTTTATTTGTTCTTGTTTCTAATTTATACTATTATTTACTATATGTATTGCTTCAATGTTAGATATACAATTGATTATCGATATATCAGAATCTAGCTTTAAGTTTAATAGAAATTTTTTAGATTGTTTTAATGTTTTGTGAAAAAAAAAATTAGTTCTTGTTTATTAATATTTAAACTTACAAAACTCATGATTAAACCTTATAAAAACAAAATGATAATGTTCGTCAAAATTACGTATAAAGTTTTTAGAATTTAATATAGTGTGGTGATGATATTAAATATCTAATACGGAGAGTTGAAAACTTTTGTGAAAGATGAATTGTGAATTTAACTTCTTGGTATATATTCATAATGATATTAAAACCTTCTTACGACAATTGTTTCAATTGTTGGTGAATTGATTTTTAATAACGATGACTTTTGAATATGAGTATTTATGAACAGATATGTAAAACGATGAATATTTATTATCATGTTTATGATGTTTCATATGCATATATTCTTATGAACGAAAGATTGAATATGCAAAATAATAATAAGAACGTTACTTAGCTCTAATACCAACCATAGGACTTCTAGCTCAGCGGTATCCGGTGTTGTCCTCCCTCCTTGAGGTCAAGGGTTCAAGTCCCATGAGGGACATAGGTGGAGATTTAGGAGAATTGTAGAAGTAGAATAGAGTAGATTCGTCGTTCAAAAAAAACTTAGCTCTGATACCAAAATTAAAGACATGACGGAATTAATAGAAAGTTAGGATAATTATACCTGAATGATTGGATATGGCTCTGCTATTCAGAAATAGAATAATTATTTCAACAGATGAAGAACTTGCTATTCAGAAATAGAATAATTATTTCAACAGATGAAGAACTTTGAGATTCCACTCAAGTCTTAAACACTCAAATATCTCTTGTTTATTTCTTATGGGCAAAGGCCCTATTTATAGGCTCGAAAGAGCCTGTTACAATTATTGTTGCAATCGTATGATTGCAATAAGATAAACATATCTTTATATCATATTCTACCGACAAATACAAACAATAATTATACAACGACAAATACAAATAATTCTACCGACAATATTTACATTAATAATATAATCTCTTCCACATTGAAATGACAAGTGTCTTCAATAATAATGGCTTTATACGTCATTGCTTACGTCATTCCTCCAACCACCGAAAGGACAGATATTTCTGAATGATGTGTGCTTTGGTCATGGCATGAAAGGTGTTTCTTCGATATTTTCTTTTACAGTAACTGTAATTATGTCATGGTGCATGCATGATGTGTTTACAAAGTTGTTTATTGAGATCAGCGGGTAATTCAGCTAGATGATGAGAAAGTTTTTCGAACGGTTGTTCGAAAGTTTCAATTGTTTTTAATGCTTCTGGAGTGATTTCATTGTCTGTTAGAGAATAGATAACGAAAGTTTTACTGGCATAATTCACTTTGACTATTGATTTTTGATCTTTTATGTTGCCTATGGGAGATGATGCTAGATAGACACCGGCTAGTGCAAAAATTAGATGATCATGTGTTAGTGTTTCATGAGGTAGATCATCTTTTGTTGGTTTCGAGCCATTGCTTATTCTCATATTTGCGAAAGTGATGCTTGGAATAAGTAATTGAGAATCTTCATCATAAATTGGATAGCTTGAGTGCATCTTGATAAATAATCCTCGTTCTTGTTTTGCAAATCGTGTTTTATAGTTTCTGATTATGATTTGTACAGCAGATGGAAATTCACTAATGTAGTGGAGATTGGTGCCTTCTAAATAAATTTTGTCAATAAATCGATGGATAAAATAATCCCATAAAGTCATAGGATCTGATAAATCAGCTAGAAAAACTGCTTTGGGGCCTGGACGCCTGGCTACTAGATATAAGCCCATCATAGAATGGATTTCGGTGTATTGAATGAGACTATCCCGTAGTTTAGCAAATTTTTGAGTAGTTGGTTTTTTCATGGCTTCTTTTTCTTTGGTTGATGGAATGGATTTAAGGGCACTTTTTTGCGTTTAATTGGTTAAGAGACTTTGGGATGGATAGAGGTTTTTGTGAGGTAAAGCTGGATATGTGTTTTTGTGGTGTAAGGAGAACTGTTTTTGAACATTCGACATTATCTTTTATGACTGTTTTGTATGCTTCGTTGTATGCGGCTTCTGCTTCATTTTTTGTTTTGTAACTTTTGTGAATGACATTTTTTCCAAGAATATATGAGTTGGTAATTCCCCAATCGTCATATATTCCTTTGTTTTCTCCATTGAAAATCACATACCATTTTTTTGTGTTTTTATGATCAGCTTGAAGTGGTGAATATTCTTCTTAGTTTGGTGTCATACGTTGTTTTTCTGTTTTATGTATTGTTTGTGACTGACTATCATCGGATGATATTTCTTGAATGTCTTCTTTTGGTTGCTTTATTGTTAAGCTGCTAGCTGCCTCTTCTTTAGATACTGAATAAGATGATTGAATTTGTAGTGTCTATTGTAGTTGCTCTTCTTCACGATTGGCTGCTTCAAGTTGTCTAATTAATGATGCTTTTTGCTCCTGTTTCTGTTTGAGCTGGTGTTGTATTTGCTTCATGATTGCTTCCATGTCAATATGTCTACTGTCTAAATACTTGCGCCTTTTGGGTACCTGAATGATTGCTTATATCTGTTTGCTTTTAATATTTCAAATGATCATATGAGAATTTTCATATCAATGTATGCTTTGGTGATATATTTATATCATTGTATACTTTATTATTGTATGATTTTTGGTGGTGTTTTTATACCACTGTATGTTTTTTCAATGTATACTTCGGACGGGTTAGATATAAGGTTTCCCTTGCGTTCTAATCTCAATAATACTTTCTCCATAAGATTATTTATCTGCATCTTGATCAGAATCAGTTGTATATGCATAAATACCTATGTCTGAATCTATATCTGAATCTTCTATAGGTTCATATCCTAGATCATATGCAATTTTCAATAGATTTGTTTCTTTTTCCTTTTTAGTCTTTTTTGGACATTCATAAGCTTTGTTTCCATCCTCTTGACATATCCAACATTTACAATCCTTTTTATTTGATGGGCAATAATTTGTTTTAGATTGATATTTTGTTTATATTGCTTTCTATTTCGAAAATATTTTTTTTCACCTTGTCTATAATATTGTTTATATTTAGGTTTATAAGTTTGTTTTTTCCAAATTTTATTTTTATATCGTTGTATTTTATTATCTTTACAACCATATTGATTAACTTTATTAGAAAAGGTTTCACAACATAAATCAATTTTTGCATCTTGTGTTGTTTTTTGTTCTAAACATCTTTTTTGCATTCATGCTTTTAGTATACTTATTCGTGCTCCTAGAGTGTCTGCAATTTTATTTTGTTGTAAGGCTTCTTGAAAATATTTTATTACAGTTTGGCTTACTAACGATGGTAATTTTTGATAAAACATATCTAGTGATACATTTTTTCTAGTGGAATCTAAATTATAATAATGTTCAGAATATTCACATATAAACGGGTCTAGATAACACATATTACAAATTCGTAGATTTGTTAAATGTCATAACGATTCTAAGTGAAAAGCTTCATGTGATACTTTATCTTCAATTTGTTTTCCTATGAATTCCTGAATAAGACGACTTAATATATTTTTAAATGTTTCTATATCATCAATAGTAGCTATCATCATTATTTCAGTTTCGTCAAGAGATGAGAGAAAACGATACGCATTACCTTGTGTTTTATGAATGATATAATTAAGAAAATGTGTTGGGTGTAAATATCTTAATTCTTCAGTTATAACTGAATTTGTACTCCCATTTTATTACTCCATTCTTGAATTTTTGCTTCGAGATTTTGATCACAATCAATAAAAAAAATATCTGAATTTGTTGGAAAAGTAAATAATTTTGGTATGTATTGTGGAGGTATTTTTTTTCCATTTGTTTTGTTTATTTTTAACCATTCCTTGTCTATATAAAAAAATTTCTTCTAATGAAGATGATCCATAAATATATTGACTTTAATAATCATCTTCAACATATGATTGTTTTCATTTTAATCCAATTTTTTTTTTGTGAATTTCTATATGGATTTGAATAAGGATTTTCTTCATCTGAAGAAAAATCATATATTACTTCTGCGTCATTATTATCTGAATCATTTTCTATTTGTGTATTATTTTCTTGAATTTCGGAGGGGGTGGGGGTCTAATCAATTAATTTTCTATTATATATGGACCATTTTTATAATTTTTTTAAGCATTTGGACAATTTGATGTAAAAAATTACACAAGGATAATTTTGTAATTTATCTTCTACACAATGACCAAACATGCCACCATACAAAAGTATCGTGGCTAAAGCCTCAAACCCAAAGAGTATACTATATTAGACACATGGACTATTTTTGTAAAAAAATACACATAGACATTTTTGTAAATTAAAGGGACAATTTTTGTAATTTATTTTCTTTACAAGGACCAAACCTACCAAAGGATTATGGCTAAAGTCTAAAATTCAAACATAAAAAACCTCATAGGTACCTTTTATATAAATTAAAGGATTATGGCTAAAGTCTAAAATTCAAACATAAAAAACCTCATAGGTACCTTTTATATAAATTACAAGGACAACAGTTGAATTTATTTTCTATATATAGACCAAACTTGTCATCATATAAAATTATTGTGGCTAAAGTTTAAAAACCAAATTGATACATAGATTGCTTTTTGATATATATATATATATATATATATATATATATATATATATATATATATATATATATATATATATATATATATAATAATTTTTTAATTAATTGTCTACGGAACACAATGTTAGTGATTTGTTATCATCAATATTATTTAAGTGTAATGGTATTACAATATTGATAAAAAGTGATATTGATAAATATTAAACAAGTAAGGAAGGTGTGGAGTACACACTTGTATAAGTTTGATCAAGTTTCAAAGTACACTATCATTTAATGGCGAAGCCCCTAAACGAATGGGGGTCCGAGGGCAGCACCCCTGGGACCCGGGGTCCAAGGGGCAGAGCCCCTGGTTGGGGTCAAGCTGTCAGGTCAGCACGGAAATTTTTTTATATAGGATATGTTAAGATATTAAAAATGCATGAGAAAATCGGATTTTCAAATAATTGATCATTGTTTGACCCTTATCCAAACTTCCGTTTTTATATCAGTTTTTATAGTTTTATGACAGTTTGAAACTGTCATATGACAGTTTTCAGACAAAGAACATAAAGTCGGTTTTGGTATCATTGCTGGTGCATACGAAATTATCATCAAAATATTCTAAGTTCTTATCTCTCTGAGTCTTATCCGATTAAAGAATATTGGAAATATCACCCAAATGCTTTAATCTGCATGTGTTTAACACGATTATCAGAATTCCAAGTCTTTTTATACCCCAATTTTAAACACACAATACATTTTTAAACTTTATTTTGATCCATCTCTTTGGTACATAATTATTTGAATCCAAATTTTATTTTTATATATTTGTTTTCCGTTTTGCAAACGAGTTCTTCGCCGCAACGTACATGACAACTAAATACCAGTATATATTAATATGAAAGTTCGGCCGTACGTCTCAAAGCCACCGTTCGTTTGCTTTTTTTTCAGAGCAAAAAAGACTTAAAGCAAAACACATTGCAATGTTTGAATAATAGAATACAAGATGTTAAAGAAAAATTTATTTAAAAATAGAGATTTTTATTCTGATCATAGCTCTGATATTTATATTTCTTTCCTCTCAGAAAATTTTGATCTAACAATTTTTTCTTTCAAAGTTAAATTATTTGTTTTTTGTAAGTTACGATTTAATCCCTTATTAAATTTTTAAAATTACATTTTCAATCACTTGCATATTTCTTTTATAGTTTTTGTTTTTATTAATTTCCTTAAGATATATTTTTAAGATTTATTTTCGTTGGTCTTCTCCATACATAATTTTTTCGATCGAAATTTAATTTTGATACTTTTATGGTATTAACGTATCATCACCATACTATATGTGAACTGTTAGACATTTATAATCACATTCTCTATACAAATTGCAAAATGAGTTACCCAAGCATTAAAGTATGACTTTGGTCGATTAGATAAACTTTTTATAACTTTTTTTATTAATTGCGAGCGAGTTTTCTGTACCATTATATGGGATTGAGTTAAATACTAGTTTTGGTGAGATGCTTCTTAACTCGAATGTTACGCGGTGTGATGATCATTACTGTTTTTGGGTGTCATGGAGTTTTTGCATTAACACTCTTTTTGGAACTATCAATCCTCAGAAAACATATATTTTTTCTGATATTGTCTCTCTTTTATTTTTTGGATTTGTAATAGACACAAGAATTACAAGGTTTGTTGCGTAATCCTCTTTTTCAATCTGCTACTTTATAATCCGTTTTTACTAGCTTCTTGATAGTGATTTAATTTAATTATGTGTTCCAAAACACATCAACAAAAATATTATATCATTTATTTATAACAAAAAATCAGTTATTCCTGCAAAATTGTACATCGTTACAAAACATATCAATAATTCATAACAATAAATCAAATAGGATTGGTAGAAAATTATTTATTTAGTAAATAAATATCAACTTTAGACCAATTTTCTCCAATCTCATCATTATCTGTCCAATTAAATAGTTTAAAAACTTATCTATTTCTTAAACAAATATCCAACTTTAGACCAATTTTCTCCAATGTTGAATTGTGTTGCTCTTCGTCATTTTATAATGGCAATATCATCATTACCAATTAATAATGGGTTTACATCGAGTGGGAAGGTTTAAAAGTCATCTAATTTATATGATGAAAAACGTTTTTTTATAAGGAATAGTAACTCATTTAGTTTACACATACACAAAATAATAATAAAAACAAGAAACATATGAAAAACACGTCAACTTCTAATAATCATAACTTTAGATCAAATAAATCCATATATTAAAATAAGTCCATATATTATGGGATCTACCCATCTTATAAAAACGTTCTATCGCAAATCCATGCGGGGTTGCTAATTCAATTTTGTTGGGAATTTATTCAAAATAATGCACTTCTTTTAGAACGCAAAAATAGAATATAGTTACACTAGAAACGGAAATACAAAAAATAAATAAATAATAAACAAAATCTAATCCAAATAGGTAAAGTTAGTGTTGGACATGATTCCATTTTGCATATATGCCCCTATTTCACATGATATATACAAAAGTCGAAGCAATATGTCATGCATTCTTGAGTCTCTATCTACTATGGAACTGATCTTTATTATGATTGATTAGCATGTAAAACGTATGTCATGTGTGTGTTTCAACGAGACCTAGCTAACTCTCAATTTATAGGTCGTGGTTTTCAACCTGAATCCCCGTTATAGTTTATTTGAATAATAAGTGATCATTAACCTAATTTATTTGAATAATAAGTGCTCAATAACCCATTAATAATGAAATTAACAAGCCAAGCCTTAAAAGTGGAACTAAAACTGAAAAACGACACTGATTACGTGGCAGCTGGAACTGTCAAGGAAACGCCACGTGAGGTCGCCTCATATTCTCATAAGTCGAGTCAACCTCGAGTTCGTCTCTAAAAATGAAGACTCCTTTAATTATGCTCTATTGTTGCAAAGTGTTCTTATGCGTGCATGTGTTATTGCAACTCAGTGAGGCAGCTCATAAATGAACGCCCTATTACTGGAAAATGTGCTTTAACCAGTTAAATATTACACAAATGGATAATTAACATCTTATTTCACATGTGTCTAAAGTCGTTAAAAATTATTTTCTAATTAAAGAAAATCATATTTTTCCAATAAAGTTTACTCCTATCGTTTTTTGTTTATTTTCTTTTTAATTACATGATACGAAGGGTTTTAGAGGAATAATCATAAAATAACCAAAATGGTATTGTACATTTTAATAAAATGGCTACTTGTTTGGCTTTTAGATAAAATGACCATTAATTTTTTTTTTTTTTTGGGCAGTTGTGAATACCAAAATTGGTTTGGTAATGGTTCTCACCGGACGAAAAAAAAAAATGTAAAACTTGAAACTGATATGTTGCGAAATTATTCCTATTTTACGAAATGATAGATAAAAAGATTTTGTCCATTAAGCTTAGATTAAAACCTGAAGTTTCCAACATAAACAAAAAGAACAAGAAGAAATGGAAAAATATCTAAATCCGAAATTTTTTTAGGGCGGAACATAGGTTGGGTAAATAATTATATAACCTCCTATTAGATTTACATTTAAAAGTTCACATGTATACGTTAGGGGTGTAAATTAGACGAGTAAATTCAAGAAAAATACCTCGAGACTAACCCAGAAAATATTCGAAATTGACTTAACTTAATCGAGCTGAGCTCAAGCTCAAGTTCGAGCTTAGTACCCATCGAGCTGAATGCAAGCTTGAGTTGTAAAATATTCGGTTCCTAAACCTCATGATTTTAATCAAGTACTTATAAAGTTACATTTTTATTGATAGGCCATTATATATATTTTTAAATGTTTTTTAATAACTAAAAAACATCTTTAAGGCTTTTAGCATTTTAGGTGTCGGTTCAATTTTTTTAGATGATTTTTTCAATTTTTTTAAATGACTGATATTATATTGATATTAGATAGTTTATTGTAGATTTTCTGGTTAGCTGGACAATGCAAAAGCATCTTAAATGTTTTTAAATTTTATTCAAATTTGATGTCTTTTTTTTTCTTTATTAATTTTAGTCGCATCGAGCCCAACCCATTTAGTCGAGTCAAGCTTCAAACTTGGCGATAATCAACTTGTTTACACCCCTACATATGATAATCAGATTTCATTATCCATTTATAATTTTATAATGCTTATAACTTCATTAGTAACACTAACTTATAGTTCCTGGAAATCACGGTTACAAAAATAATTAAATTTTTATAGTAAAACTCATAATTATTAATCAATTATTTCCAATAAACTATTAGTTAAACACGACTTTGTAGGATTTTCGATATAAAAATACAATTAATTATCAACAATCATAACCGAAACGAAATTAAATTTCTCCTAAAAATCATAAATCAAATAAATAATTATCTAACTTATTATCAACATCAATACTTCATAAAAAAAATATGAGAAAATGACAAATATCATTTTTATAATTTGAAAAGAAAACATAAATTATAAGAAAAATGACAAGTGACACTAATAAATATTTCTTTTATTAGTATAAAAAAAATATAATTTCAAAATCATAATATAATACTATATATGATACTGAAAATAAGAAATTTGTTATGTTAATCAACATTTGTCCTAATAAATCAATATTAGAATCACTAAGTTTATATTAGTAAATAGGAATTGAAATTATTAAACATTATATACTGATGATCGTATTTATATAACAGGAAGGCCTAGTAGTTAAGATGCAAAATTACATACAAAAGTTGATATGATTTACCAAAGGATAAATTTTGGTCAATAACCACAAACCCGACGGGATACAGTTTTATAATCGAGTATGGGGCATCCGTCAACATAGTTACTTTATCGTGTTCTCCTTTTAAGCAATGCATTTTTTACATAACACTTTTTTAAACTTTTATCCATTTTAGGGAATGCACTTTGATGATTTTATCCAGAATAAAAAATGACATATACTTCAGATTTGATCATCATATCAATATATAGAAAGCAAACGATACTTCATCTAAAGTATTGCTATAAACGTATATCCCCTAAAAATTGTAATCATGGCTCAAAAAAAAAAACACTACTTTTAAGCCTCATTTGACTGCGACTAAAACTAAAACTGATGTGGAGAGGACAAAAACTGCAACTTTTTGTCGTGGGATTTCAATCTCTCTGTCTACGCAAAAGGACGTAAATACCCTCCCTATCCTTATCCTAAAAAGCTTGTAAATTCACAGCTAAGCTTCTTTCAAGTCTAGTTTATTATTTTTCACAAGAGATACCAATTTTCACAAACCCAACAACAAACTACTACTTAAGTTAAACTTAAACTACACATATCCATGATCCATCCATAAGTCAAAGTTCAAATATGGATAATAATTTAAAAAGTCAAATTACCTTTTCGCCCCTGACAAATACAAACCCACCACTCCTCTCAGTTGACCTTTGCAGCACTTCCGTTCCCCACACCGCCATTTTCATCGGGCGGAAATTCACCCACAAGTGTCTTCACTGCAAAGTCAAACTGATCGGTCCAACTAGAATCATCCTCAAGTTGGTAGTCAAGTTGCTCTTCATTACCAACTTGTTTTTCCACATCTACCCCTGCCCCGTTATCGTTTCCATCCAATGACGTGTCGGTTTTAGTATGTGGTGGCTTCACCCCTTTTAGCCGTGTTGAAGATCGGGCAGGCAAAGGGGCAGCTGAGGGCTTCATCTTTGAAGCCCTCTCACGTGCGCCTCTCCTTATGGGAGTAGACCCAGGGGTATTTTCGGTATTCTTGCGATCAGTCTCCGAGTTGTCAGCTTCTTTGTCCATGTCAATACCTTCCATATCAGATCCCCCTATCAAACAATATAAACACCAACATTATAAATCATTAGCATCCATGTTTATTTATTTTCGGAAAGTAGGACAAGAAGGGCATTCTCGTCTTTTTCACAAATGACAAAACAATATATAAAGTAGTAAATGCTTTATATGTTTAAAGACTGTTTCTTTTCTAGACCGAATAAACTGTCTTCATATTTTACCCTTGTGTTTGAATGCACAGGCCTTTTGGAATGAATGAATACGATGAGTAAATGACCATTTTACCCTTCACCAAACACAGTATTGAAACAATGTTCATCCATGGCTCACCTTCAGAGAGTTGTTTCTGAAGTTTGGGTGGTTTTGGTGTGGTATCAGGGATGGCCTGTTGAATGAAAACAAAACATGGTAAAACAAAGTGTTGAAGGGTGAAACTTGTATTTTGGCAATAGTTGAAGGGCTTACAACTTCATTTCCATCAGCATCCTTTTTCCTTGGTCTAATAGCACACAAATTTATATCCCCGGTGTCCAAATACCTCAAAGCATCCAATTTTGAACGAAAGATGTAGCCACTCACAGGATCCGTGTAATACTGCATGCATTCAATAATCCAATAATCATTACAACTTTTAAAGCATAAACTACAAGTGCATTTATTTGAATATTAACATAAACACACTTTTTCACATTTTGATATATCCCCATTGGCCCTTTTGCTCAATTGTAAAAACGTCTGAAACTTTTATGGACTAATTGTAAAGCATATATATATTATTGGTGGTTATTTTCTTGTAATTTGCCCTAGCTGAATAAAGATTTTAGAGATGATAAAAAAAAGTAAAAAGAAAAAAATAAATAAAATAATAATACCGGATCTTTTCTTATGGTGGTCCCGCATAGCCGAGATCTGATTTCTTTTATCCAACCTGGCGGTAACCCTTCCGCCGGAGTCGTTACGATAGTCTAGAAATTATTTAAAAAATTAGGGGTTCAATAATATAATATAATAACTATATTAAATAGAAAAATGATATATTTAACATTATATATGCTAAAAGAAAAAGAAAAAGACAGGAACAAACTTCTTTGTAATCGGATACATCTTTTTTGGATCTTTTTGGGCGTGTATATTCCTCAGAGCCTGAATCCGGTGATGAGTCACGCTCCACGTAGGATTTTCGTACCTTCTACAGTTACAATTTTATGACACATCAGATAAACAAAGTGAAAGTATGTTGCTATTATAAGAAAAGAAAAAAAAAGTTTTGGTGCATACTTTTCTCTTTTGGGAGTTGGTGTTGCTGTTGGGGCTAATGCCACTGGTATTACCAAGATAGGTCATCACTTGTGGTCTTGAATAGAAGTTTTTCCCAGTTGCAATTTCCTTGTAACACTGTAAACCATATAGGATAAACTAATTCAATTCTATATCCATATATATATACTATAAAAAAAAAAAAAAAAACCATTTTTCTTTCCATTATATTGATTTGAAACCCTCTAAATTTTCAACTTCCAACATAATGTATTACAAGATGGAGAACCATATTTAGTTTTATTCGCACACAAGCCACGGGTAGAGACCATAGCAATGTAGTTTCATTTCCATCTTGATTAACTAACTAACTAGGTGACATGAAATAATAATTTTTGTATTAAGTTGATATATATACAATTTATTTTGAATGGTATTATAAGATAAACATCTATTAATGGGGAAAAAATTACCTTAATTTTCTTATCATTACGAGACTTCATTTCAACAACCCATCCTTCAGGTAGCCATGCTTCACCTTTTTGGGCTGGTTTAGGCATGGGAAGATGTCCATCTCCAGTTATAGATTTGGGCATGGGAATATATCCATCTCCAGTTATAGACCGAACTTTTCTCTGAAATCATATTTTTTTTATTAAATTTTATAAAGAAAACCAACTCTAAACAAACCCCATGATTAATTTACCAACATACTTTACTCTTTTTACCAATATGGGCAATGATACTTTACATTTCTTTATAAAAGCAATGTACTTTATTTTTTATCATAAGTACGTTGCTATTAGGTGCAAACAAATGCAAGTATGTTACTATTATGGGTCAAGAATTGCTATTATAGGTCATATAATAAGTATATTGCTTATATTGGTAAAAAGGATAAAGTAGGGTGTCATTTCCTGCAGTTAATCCATTGATTTATGATCAAATGATACAATTAACTTGCAATTTACCTTTTCTGTACCAGTTCCTTCTGGTTTTGACTCTGTAACACCACCATTTTCTACCTCTTTGGGAGTTTCTGTTTCTTTGGTTGGTTCAGATGGTGAAGCCAATTCTCCTTCTGGCTCATCATCAGCAGCTTGCTGGAAAATAAAAAAATAAAAAAAAAGTTATTAGTTTTATGTCAATAATTGTCATTAACTGAACATAACTTACAATGAGTTCATGATTCATATCCCTTCTCAGTGGTTTAACGGAACATTTCTTTACATCTCCAGTATCCAGATACCGCAAAGCATCCAATTTTGAGAAAAATACATAGCCACTCAAAGGGTCTAGGTAGTACTGCATAGATAATTAATTAATTAATTAATTATAAAAGTTTAATGAGTTTTTGGATAAGGAAAAAAATAAGAAAATTTGAATACCGGATCTCTTTTCTTCCCAGATGATCCGTTTCTCACTCTGATTTCTTTTATCCATCCTGGGGGCAACCCATCTGCTGGAGTACTTGAGATAACCTAGAGATTCGTCAAAAAGTCAGATGTCTAATATAAATTCGAAAAATGTAATATTTGAAATCTTGGGGGGTTAAAGTGGAACAAACTTCATAATCAGGGGCCATGCGGGCGCTTTCTGTAATCTCTCTGGTTTCATTGTTCTTGGCTGAAGAAATCTGGGACTTCACAGGTTGAGTAGGGGTTTTATATCCCTAGAAAGTTAAAATGTTATAATTTCAAGAATTGATGCTATAAATGACAAAAAGAATATCAAAGTTGGGTTGATGCAGACTTTTTTATGTCCAGCTGGACTGCTGATTGTACCACTAAGATAACTCAAAACCTGAGGCTTTGAAAAGAATTTTTTCCCTTTGGGATCGATGTAAATCTACAATAGCAGAACAACAAAAAGCTTGTTAAACAACATGTGATCAGGAAACTGAAAGATATTGGATAAGAATATAAAATAGTAAGCATTGTCATAGTTATTCTACTCAAATCTATTCCATTTACCTTATATTTTTGTCCAGACTTTTTACTCTTCACTTCCACACCCCATCCAACAGGTAGCCAAGCCACAGAGGAAGATCCATCTCGAGGGAAAAGCTCTTCAGTATCCTGTATCACCAGGTGTTATTTCAAGCAGTGATATGAATAGGTAAAGACTAAAGACTTTGCTTTAGTACCTTGTAATTCTTGCTGCTACTTCCAGGTCTCCTCTGTCTAGTAGACTGTCCTTTGGGTGTTGATTCAGGTTCAGGTTCAAGATCTTCATTTGTATGGGGAACATCTTCATCTGGCTCTAGAGATAAGTCTAAAGTTTGGCCATCGACATTGTTCTAAAAGAAAACAGGACTGTAAGAATACAAGGAGTTAAGAGGGAAAAAGAAAATCAAAGCGAAGCCTGAGAGAAGCAATCATTACAGTCTTCTCGTTGTCTGCCCTGTTTTCGAGGGTCCTAAAATGCCGATCCACTTGGGGCTTCGAATAGAATTTGCGTCCTGCAGGATCAATGTAACACTGCAACAGCAACAATAGTCTATTAAATAAAACAAAGAACTCTTTAACTCTGGAGTGTATCAAAAAACCCTCTCATAAATCAACATTGCTGTCAAATTTCTTCAAAATAGCATAAAAAAATCAAACTGCGTCTAAGGAGATAGCAACATCTGGTCGAAACAAAAACGATCGACCTCCGAGTAAGGAAACTTAGTAACGCAAAAATTAATTCATCACAATTCACATGCAGGTACGTTTGTAGCTCTACATTCAAAATTAAACCAAAAATCTACACAAAAAACGCAAAATCTGTAGAAACTGAGAAGCGAGAAAAAAAAAAAAAAAACCCTAAGTAGAGGGAAGTCGAGTGGAAGAGTGAGAATTTTGAAGTACCTTGACTTTCCGGTCATCGATCTTTCTGATTTGTATCATCCAGTCAGCTGGAAGCCACTCCGGCCACTCATCGACAGTCATTTCCGGTGTCTCTGACAAGTAACGTTTTCTGTGTTGTAGAGAGAGTATCGAAGAGAGAGAGAGGGGGGGTTAAAAGTAATTAAAGCAAAATGCTCTCGTTTATCTAGGACGGAGTTTAGTTGATGGAAACGGACAAAGTACAGATGCCACGTGTTCATCATGTACAGATATGCCAGGAACTAGACGTGTCACTTTGCCACTTGTAGATTTTGGCTTTGGGCTGTAACGGCCCGTTTGTGTGTTTCTTGGGCTTGGTTTTGTTTGTTGGTTTCCCAATGTTTCGTTCCGTACGGTCAAAAATGCTTACGGAATCAGATTTTCTCAGATGATTCCTCATTAATGATTTTTTAGGTATAAAATTTCGTGTATTTATAATATCAATAGTTTTTATGATTATTAAAAGTTAATTTTTTTTTAAACTCGGACTTTTCATTTAATTCCTATAAACTTTTTATTTATTATATATTTTACTTTTTATAATCAAATAATAATACAAACATGTCAACATTTTCTATATAATTTAATATTTATATAAACAAAAAAATAAAAATAAAATGATATTAAATATTTAAATGAAAACTAAGTATTATTATTATATCGTATTTGAAATCACTTATTATTATGCTTACATATAAAAATGATTTTAATAAATTACACTAAAAAACCAAAAATAAATTATTTTTTTTTGTTAAAATAATTTATTTTATATATTTTAAATATATATATATATATATATATATATATATATATGGTTATTTTAATATTTTTTTATAAAAATAATTTTTTTTTCTATAAACAAATCTTTATATTGAGCCATTTTATTATGTAATGATTAGTTTTATTTAAAGTAAATATAAAATAATCATGAGTGTCTAATATTATACAATGATAATTAAATAACAAATAATTATTTGGTAATGATTAGCTTATTTTAAGAAAAAAATTAAAGTAATTATTAAAGGTCCTTTAAGCAAATAAAAAGGGTCCAAATAGCTGAACCTGGAATATTTTGTTGGGACGTTGGAGATATGTTATTTATAAAGTAAAAAGAAAAAGGATAATTGAGTACTTTACCGAGTGATTTTTTAGAAAAAATAACCATAAATTTTTTTTTTCAAAAAATACCACTCGGTCGTGAATATTCATTTTGGATCCGAATTTCGAAATGGGTTAATGGGTAAAGTGATCAGGCCCGGTACTATGGTCTCACATATAACATTTCAAACTCACTTTCATTTAGGACAACATCAACCTCAAACAATGTCTCTAGTAATAAAGAGATTCAGTTTTTATAGGTATGTGTCGATTTTTTCATAATTATATGCATTTATGTATGAATTGTAACACCCACTTCCATATAAGCATCACTTATGAGTTATCAATTAAGTCTTAAATGATGAAAACCTTGCTCACTATGTGAGCATATGTGTATCACAATGTGACGGTGCCCGGGGAGGAACATGCATCTTATTGGTTGTCATGCGTTGGACATGAATGTCTAAAAAACAATGATTTTTATGGTGAAGGTTGAGAATAGAATGGGTTCGGGGGAGTTAAGCTTAAATAGGGCTCAAACCACGAAAATAGGGTTTGGGCACTGATTGTGTACGCCCAACATACTCCAGGTATGTCTAGTACGCCTAGCGTACACAACTTAACCCAAAATCGCACTAACATCAAACGGTCATAACTTCTTCGTATAAACTCCGATTTCAACGATCGTATATCCACGGAAAGGTAATGAGAAGCTCTACAATCCTATCAACTCTCATTTTCCTTAAAACTTTCCAAAATTAAATCCAAAATTCATAAAAGGTCAAAACTATCACTTTACGGTTATACCATTGGGCTCCAAAGCACCAATGAACTCTCGGATCACCTAATATACATTACTCAGGTCCAAAGTGGTCTAAATCTCTCTTTCCTCCAAGGCCCAAGGCCTTATGACAACTGATCTTCGAGTCACGGCCCCGAATTAAGAAATGATTCGAAACAGGGTGTTACATCTTCTTCTTCGAAAGGCGCAAAAAATCCACCAAAATCACTCAAATGCTCAAAATCTATCCAAATGGGGGGTATAGTTTTAAATTTAGGGTTAGATGGGATAGAGGTTGAAGATAAGGAGGGTTGGAAATGAGTTAATGCCTTTAAATAGGGTCCAAGACCCTAAATTAAGGTTTACATTTGAGTCGCATACTCCTGGTACGCCTAACGTACCAGGCTTCCCTTCACGATCAACCCAGCCAAGTACGCCCAATGTACTTGGCTTAACCTAAAACCCACATACCTTCAAATGGTCATAACGTACCAGGCTTCCCTTCACGATCAACCCAGCCAAGTCCTAATCCATTTTCGACGTTCTTTATATGCTTGGAAAGGTATTGAGAAACCCTACACTCCTATAAACTCTCCTTCTCCTTAAAACCTTCCGAACTTAAATCCTAAATTCATGAAAGGCCCGAACCATCACCTTTTTACCATTATACCATTGGGCTCTAAAACACAAATTGAACTCTTGGATCACATAATCTACATTACCCACATCCAAACGGGTCTAAACCTCTCTTCCCCTAAATCACGAATCCTTATAATAATTGATCTTTGGGTCAAGGCACCGAATTATGAAACAAATCAAAACAGGGTGTTACAACTCTCCCCAACTTAAATTAGATTTCGTCCTCGAAATCACTCTTTGCAACCTATTGTCATAAGTCTAAACTTCGAATCAACCAATCTCATAATTGGTTATCCTTCATGGACTAAATTTCGCTATCCTTGGACCTTTCTTATTGGCATCCTTAAGGCCTACCATTGCTTCCTAGCATCTATTAGGTTGTCTAAATTGATCAATGTTATATTACTAACCAACGTGTCATCTTCCCGCAGTTAAATGGAATTCATAAAACTCGGGAGCTGCACTAATTCTACTAGATCAGTGAAGAGGTAAGGCAATGTGTAACGTCCCGATTTTGCAACCAAAAATTTTCATTTTTATTTATTCAATATATCATAGTATAGTTACATTATGCAAAACATGTTGTGAATGTGTGTGTATAGTTGAACCTTGCCCTTCTCATGTATCTATGAAGCACCTGAAAACAATTATAATCAACTGGGTAAGCACGAAGCTTAATGAGTTTTCCAAAATACCATATACCACAATATATACATGCATAGAAATAATTGCTCTTGATCTGCCAATAATATGTCTATTTTAGACTTATAGCCCAACCATTTTGTCTTCAACACGGGTCTACGTGTACTTACGACCTACATGTCATTTTGTCAACACAAGTCTATGTGTACTTACAACCTACATACCATTTCGTCAACATGGATCTATGTGTACTTACGATCTCCATGCTATTTCGTCAATACACGGGCCTGTAGGCTCCCGGCCTCTTTTTCATCCCGCCATATATCCTAACTAAATCTAATATCATTACAACTACGCACATAAAGACTGCACTTTAGAATCTACTAGTACAAACACATTTATACATCCTACTCTACCAGTTTCAAGTATATTTACACTTAAGCACATAAATGGACACATATTTCAATACATGGTATAACAAGATAACTCACCTGGAAAATTACTCAAACAATTGACAGTTATCCGAGTGATCCTACTGGCGATCCAACTAGCGGGTAACGCGCCTAACAAGTATTAACCTATAATATTATAACTTTATTAATCCGTATGAAAATCTGGCAATGAAAGCTAGATCTTTCACTAATCTCAATGAATACCAAGAGTTTTATCAAATAAGGATCAATCAGACAGGGAAGTTGGGAGGCATGACCATTTTGGCATATAACATTTCTGAAATCCAACAACCAAGCCAACATAACCATTCTAGACATCTCTCCCATAAATAGATCAATCAATATTAAAACTAGAATTATTGATAAATCTCCATCTTATCTATACATTCATAACAACAACTATAAATATAAATATAAGTTACACTTAAGGTGCAGTAAGTGTAGCCTAACTTACAAAGAGCTTTTAACAAAAAACCGGGAATCATGCGCTGATCTTGACCTGAAAGCTCTATCTCTCAGATTCTCCATGGATTTATTGCGAATACTTCAGAGCTTCGAAAAGTCAGAAATCTAAAGGGATAAAGGCTATCTAGAGAGAGAAACTCGAGTGTGATGGTGTGTGGAATTAGGGAGACTTATGACAATATTTATAGGTGATTTTTGGGGGAGATGCATAACGTGCTTCTAAAGGCGTGTCACGCATTTATATGATGTCTCTCCTTTGCCCTGTTTCCAAATGTCATAATTCTTGTGGTTCATGTCGCATCTTATAGAAGCGTGCACCGCACAAAATGCATATTTTGTAAATTTCGCAATGTCTTTATACAAGTTATGTTTTTAACGTTTTTTATATCTACGCGTATTTATTGATGAGATATACAGCTTTCATTTAGATTCCGCCAGCTAATTTTCACTTTATTTTTAAAATTATATTTTTAAAGGACTTAGACTGTTAAAACCCGTATAAAAATTAACTCTTCCATACGACATTCGTTATCGACTGTCTTTATATCAACAAAATTATATGTACAAGATCTTCAACTATCGTTTAGATTGTTTCAACTAACAATCACCCAATTTCTATTTCAATTTTTGTGTTGCACACTACTGAGTTGAAACCAGTGTTGTAAAAATCGTCGAGTTGGCCGATTACTCCTTCGAGTACTCGCTACTCGGCCCCTTACCGAAGCGAGCTACAGAATCCCGAGTACTCCCCGATCGCCCCTTATTAAGCTGAGAAGTGTTGTAAAATACGGTCAACTCAATGATTAATATGTATAATATACTTAATGATTTATTATTTAATACAAACACATGTGATTATTACGACATATATATCTTAAATTTTTAGTAATTATTCACGAAGTGAGACTATTATGTGTTTTTTAGCTTTTGTGTATTCATATGTATCTAATTTTGTTATATATTTCTAACAAATTATGATTTTAACATATATAATTTCCCTAAAAATATTTCTACATAAATTACCGAATTCGAGTACTCCCGAGTACTCCTGGGTACTCGCTACTCGGTAGTCGGCCGAACAGGTACCGAATAACGAGTTCTACAACCTTGGTTGAAACTTCTAAAAATCATAACTTCCTCGTATGCAGATTTGGACATTTTCAATATAACACTCGCTTTTACGATTACTATGAATTTTGTTAAAACTATTTATCATAAATAGTCCTCTATCAAAAACATCTATTTACATAATTGGTTGTTTATACTGTAAGACAAAAATAAGACATCATACAATGTTATTTAATATTTATGAAATGTTTTATAAATTCTCATTGATCTAAAATGTTTTTTTTTAATAAAAAGTAAATATTATTTGATAATAGCTTATTTAAATCCATTATAATATCTGATTATCTGGATAATTGATTACTATTATGTTTATGTAAGAGGATGCAGTATGGGCCAACAACGAGAAGCAACCGGGTGATGTGGCATACGAAAACGACGTCGTGACGGGGGAACACCCCCCCAACTCGTTGCATCTCGTCGAGCAATTCTCGTGGGTGTTACGATGAAATGAAACGTCTAAATTTTTACCCGTTGCCTTTTATGACCGTTTGCAAACGGTCGATATTCAATTTAAAAAAAATTACCTTTTTACCAATATATATATATATATATATATATATATATATATATATATATATATATATATGCTCATTTTAATTCAAAGTTTACATATTTATTTTAAATTCTCTCTATATTTTATACACTTTGTTAATCAAAAAATGGAGCAAAACTCAAACACCCCCCTCCATCATCAAACCCAAACACAGCATCGCATATCGGATTTGCGTGTTATGAAAATTATTTCAACATTTTATCATCTCAAGGCTCACCACAAATCTCATACTAAGGCGCCGCTTTCAATTCCGTTTCACCGCAACTACAATTTTCCAACTCACCTTACCTTCAACAAAATCAATTAGGTCAGAACCCAAATTTACAACAAAATCTTTTCTCTACTTTTGGCTCAATGCAACAAACAACCAACCAACTATCGCCTACAACACAACCATTAGATCAAATGGAAGCGGGAGGTAGTAAGAGAGGGAAAGTGAAAGGAATATCAAAAGGGAAATCGATAGTGGTTGAAACACAAAATGCAGACATTCCACAATGGTGGACATCGGATGAGGAATATGTTTTGACGGCGGCTTGGTGTCCTACTTCAAAAGACGAACTTCGAGGAAATGGAATGAAAAAATGAGCTTATTGGGAGTGGGTGCTCAATAAGTTTCACGCTTTTTTGAAGAAAAATCTGTATCGCAACAATGACATGTTGAGCAGCAAATAGGGTCAAATAACTAAGTGGTGCAGCAAATTCAACGATATTTACAACCGGCTTGAGGTGCAACAACAAAGCGGAACCAACGACTTCGATTTGTTCAAATCTGCTAAGGAACAATATCGGGTTGAAATGGGTCATGTTTTCAACTTTGAAAAATCATGGGAATTGTTGCGAGCGGATCCAAAGTGGAATAAAACGCCAACATCGTCGGAGGTTCAATCCAAAAAGTTTCGCAATTCTAGCTCAGTCGACGTGTCGGATGCACGGGCTAACATCGACCTAAACGCCGATGACAATGAGATCCCAGATGATATCCAAGAGATATTCCTACCACGACGACCCCCAGACCCGACAAAGCGATGTGCGCTGCAAGACATACGGAAGAGGTGGAGACGAGAGCAAAAGAGGTGGCGGAAATAAGAGCGAAATTCGACGAACACAATTCATTAATAATAGAAAAAAAAAACGAATTGAAACGTCGTCATTTGGAGTTCCTGGAAAGACAAGCACGGGAGAAGCATGAGCAAAAAGAAAGGAAACTAATAACACATCAGTTGTCAATTCTTCAAACAAGAGATGATGGTTTGACACCTACTGATCTAGCAGTGCTATAAGCGATGAATGAACAAATTAAGATGAAATATTTGAGTTAATTAGGATTGTTATGTGGTTTTAGTAGTAATTTGAATGATATTTTAGTTATAATATTAGGTTTAAAATTATGTTTTTCAATTGTAATCGTAATTTTAGATTTTAAATCTTATGCCTTTTTTTTTTTAATTTTATGTTTTATAAAAAAAATATATTCATATTAGTGATTAAAAAATACAAAAAGGAAAAAAAAAAAGAAAAAGAAAAAGAAAAAGTAAAAAAAAAAAAATAAAACATATTTATTTTTAGAAAGTTGGTGTTGCATCTTGTTATCCATTTTCCCACTTAGTGTTATAACACCACTTGCTTATGTAGCATATGAGGTGACACAACTTGGTGTTACACCTTGTTGCCCACACATAATGCTCTAACTTAAACGATCATAAGATCTATTAATCCCCAAATTAATAAATGATTACTATTATGTTTATGTAACTTGAACAATCATAAGATCTATTAATCCCCAATTAATAATTGATTACTATTATGTTTATGTAACTTGAACAATCATAAGATCTATTAATCCCCCAATTGGATGCCTAATTGAAGAATTGAAACAAAAGTGATCACCTTTTAATTATTAAATTCAATTATTTGTGGGTTCATTAGTTTCAATATTGTTTTCAACAAAGTCCAAGTTCTTTAATCACCTAAGAACTATTGAATAACTAAAACTACAAGCGATCACCTCTTTTAATTAAATTCAATCATTTGGCGGTTCATTCGTTTCAATATTGTTTTCAACAAACTCTAAGTTTTTTAATCACTTAAGAACTACTTGTTAACCATAAGTTGTTTGTGTATTCGACTATTACTTGTCCTAGCTATTGATGTTTAAGCTTATTTTTGACCAAGTCAAATGACCAACAACCACAGTCAAACCCTCCAATTAACCAAACAATCTCACTTGTCACCATTTAAAATGGGTAGGATGATAAATTTCTCATTCAGAAAAAGAGTTAGAAGCAATAAAAGGTATCAACATAGCTAAAAGTGAAGGTTCCTTAGACATATTACTCCACAAAACAAACCTAAAGAAACAAAAGTACATCGACACTAATTGGTCAGAAACACATAACACCTTAACTTGTGTCCCAATGTTCTTAAGTACTTACCATAATAGAAACATTATTAGCTTTAACTATCATTTACCTCATTAGCACCTTCATTCTTCCTCTCCTCAATTCCAACACTTTGTTCCTCAGCAGTCATGGGTATTTCCGGAACTTCAATCGGTACATCACCATTAACAGTCAGGGGTATTTCCGTCTTTTCATCGTTAGTTGACTTTTCAACATTTGACTCTTTACCTTTGACTTGTTCGGTATCATCTTCCACACCATCACCACCTTCATTTTTCTCTTTTTCTGGTTGCTCCTCAGACTGTGGTTCGACAGTTTCACTTGTTTTGAGCCTTTTTGATGCTAGAGAAGGTGGAGTGGATGTTGACTTTTTTGTCTCGTTGCTTCTCTTTGTTGACTTTTTATTTGCACTTTGTGTCTTGGTTGGTGTATTCGCTAATTTCTGTTTTAGACAAAAAAAAGGACCATACTGTAAAAATGGTATCCCTATAAAAAATTAATTTAATACAATTTTTTTTTTAAGTTAAAAAAAGAGGACTTACCATCATAATATCACTCTTTTTCCTTGGTTTCATTGCACATTTCTCTATGTCTCCAGTTTCCAGATAACGTAAAGCATCCAATTTGGACATAAAGGCATAGTCACTTGAAGGGTCTAGGTAATACTGTATAATTAAAAAAAAAAAAAAAACAATTTCTTTAATCATTAAGCATTAAATATGACAACAAACATAAATCCATACATGGAAATCACCATGGTCCCACTTTTTATACAGGACAAGACAAGATAAGACATAACAGTACAACACATAACATAACATAACAGGTTGTACTGTGTTTGGCTTCAGTGGACTGGGCCACTGGGACAGAGACTGATGTCAATGAGACAGGAAAGGAAGGTGGGAATGTGCTTACCGGATCTTTTCTTGTGGTGCGGCCTTTAGCAGTCCTAATTACGACTTCTTTTATCCAACCTGGGGGCAACCCATCCACTTGAGTCCCCGAGGCCGAGACAGCCTACACATTATATCATATTATTATTTTTTATTTAAAAAAATAAAAAAAAAGGGGAGATGAAACAAAACAAACATTCTTCTCATTGCTCTTTTCGCTGGTTTCTTGATTCTTTTCAGAGATGTCTTCTGCTGCCACGTCAGCAGCTTCAGACTTCTCGGGAATAACTGTTTCTGAAGAGGGTTTATCTTTATCTCCCTTAAAAAGAAGCAACACACAAATGAATAAATTATAGCTTCAACAGTTTGAATTATTGTATCATTATTATTAGAAATTTCAAGAAATAGAGTTAGAAGGAAGAACAGAAATAAGAAAATTACTGTTGTCTCAGTGGCTTTGCTGCTGTTGATGGTGTTAAGATAGTCAGAAACCTCCAGCATTGAATGAAACTCTCGTCCAGTTTCAGGATCAATGTAACACTACAGATTAAAATATTTCAGAAAGAATTCAAGAAAAATAACAAAAGATGATAGTTTTAAGTTTTAACAGTAAGTTATCAGTTTTGTTCATTAATCAGGATTCCTATCAAGGTTCCATGCATGTTTAGGTGCTTTGTCTATTAGAAAGGATACTCTGATACTTGAGTTCAAATGGACAAATTTTCAACTTCAAATTGGTATGAATCTTCATATCTCTAGACCAAAATTCAAATACATTAACAAATACTACATAATATTAACATATTCTCCTTAAGTTCACACCAGAATAATTATGAATTATTGGCTTTGAATGTCATACAAGGTAGTTTTCAACTTACAATATTATATGTTAACCTGAATACTTCCAAAAATATGCCAGCTACATTCCACATATATTTCACAATTAGATGCAAGAATTACAAGGTATGACATCAAAATTGAAGTGTATTCTCTCCAGAAATAAAATAATCTTATGCTTGATACGGAAAATCTACAAAGACACATGAAATCTCAACTCGCAATACTCTCACTAACTCAACAGCGTCAAGCTACTTTCATAATTCTACTCGCAATCACATGCAGCTATTTTGCTCTCCGCATTTGCGCAATTAAAGCGAACATGTAATCAGAGCACACAAAATATAAGAAACCGAAGATTGGACAAAGGAAACCCTAATTCCAACTCCGGAAAAATCGAAGACTGGAAGAACAATTACCTCACGTTTCTCTTCCTCTGAACCTTTGACTTCTATGGTCCAGCTGGAAGGAAGCCCCTCCGGGCGCTCAATTGAGCTCATTTCGCAGGAGTTTTGTGGCGTTTCCGACTGTTGACGGTGGTTTGTGTTGCTAATTTTACAGTGAAATCGAAAGGTGAATGAATTTAGATCGGGAAAGTCGGTAGAAAAATTGTGCTTTGATCCAAATCCAAGGGGTGTTTGAATTCAGGGGTATTTATGTAATTACACTACGCAATGTTGTTAAGTAATTTAATGATTACTTTAAACTTTTGAGACATTTCGATTTTCATCAGTAGTGACCGTAGGATGATTAAAAATTTTAAAAGTAAATAAATTACTTTTTTTTAATTACGAAAACAACTATTTTTTTTTTTTAACCGGTAAATATATATTATATAAAACACCAACTCTAGCAAGGTGCTAGATGAAGGAGAAAGTAAACAAAAGACAGAGTTGAATTACTAGGGGATCTAATCCAATCACCCCAATTAATACTACACCTGCCATATCTATGTTTAACCCACAGAAATATCATAGACTTAATCGAATCGACAACCTTAATCGGATCAACAATACCGTCATTGAAGATTCTATCATTCATGGCACGCCAAATAGCCCACAGAGCACCATAGAGGATCGAGAACAGAGCCTTCTTCTTGCGATTGGAACTCATCTTCAATCTGACACCCTCATCAATAATTCCTCTAACTGAATTGGCGTTTATCTTCCCAATGTCGCACCACATCTCCAGACTCCTCCACACATGATCCGCAAATGGGCAGTCCAATAGGAGATGGTCGGAAGTTTCTAACCTCGAGATATATGCACTGCACCATTGGGAGTCTACCTTAACATTCCTGCGGCTAAGGGCCAACAAAGTTGGGATTCGACCCAATCTAGCCCACCAAGCAAAACATAGAACTTTCATTGGCACCTACTTAAACCATGGAAATTCACCGTCACATATTAGGTGTGGGGATCTATCTATTCTCGTTCTCATCATAGCTACACGGTAATTCTCCTTGCAAAAATCAGATTCCCAAGTATCGCCGGTTGGTGATCTTCTAATAACATCATGAACTAGAATGTTTACTTTTCTAAGTTCATTTTTGCATCTAACAATATTATTCCATACTCCAGGGATATGTTTTGATGCAGCAATATTTTCATTCGGACTCCCCCTGTATTGAATATTGTTTATAATGCAAGACCATAATGAATTAGGAGAAGTTTTGAGCTTCCACCACCATTTAGATAATAAAGAAATGTTAAGAGCTTTTTATAGATCCAATACCGAGACCCCCAACTTCACGTGGTGCTATTAATCTCTCTCATGCCTCCTAATTGATCTTTCGGGACTCACCTTCCCCCCCACCCCCCCAAAAAAAAAGCGAAGATCGATAAATAATAATTGGGAAGATTACCCAAGATGGCTTTAGCAAGCGTTATTCTACCACCAAAGCTTAAAATTTTTTGCTTTCCATATCGATAGTTTTGATTTGAACTTATCCACAATTGGCTTCCAATTTTTAATTAAGTTCATAGTAGCCCCAACCGGAACCCCAAGATATGAAAAGGGGAGGGAAGCCGGTTCACACCCTAGCGGAGCAGCCCATCTTTCAACCTCTCGATTGATCACACCAATGCCAACAACTTTTGATTTTTTAAAATTCACAAAAAATTGTTGCGGATTAAATTTTAACATTATTTCGTATTAATTTTATGCTTTGACATTTCAAATAAAAAATATTTTTCATTAATACATTCAACATTTGAGGGAAAAAATACATTTTGCAATCCAAAATTCTTCATATTACATACTAAATGCTAAGTCGAAATCGGTGGTTATTTCGGTAAATACAACAAAATTAGATCATTAAAAAATAGGTTCTCGACCGTTTATTGCAGCTTTCTGCTTTTGTAAGGATAGAGGAAAAGGTTCGGCCTTTTGATGAGATGTTAATGATGACTAAGCAACATCTAATTCCAGTTGTACTGCCACATGTCTTTGACTGGTTCAATTCTTTTGGCTTAAGTTTCCATACTTTTAGTTTTTCTTTTGTAGGAGTAATGGCTTAGTGCCCTATCATTTATTTCCTATTATTATGCATTTAATTGAGATAGTGGATAGGTTGTTATTTCCTTTCGGTCCTCATTGCTAAGCTTAAATAGCCTATCATGTTCTTGTTTTTTAAGTGTGTGAAATAAACAATCATTAAGCAGCAATCCTTGTCACTCTTTATTCTGAAAGTCATGTTCTTGAATCTCCACTTCAAGTTAACAAGTGGTATCAAAGCCTCTCGTTGCAGTTTAGTATGACATAGTTTCATGCAATCGGTGGAGTGAAGAAATTAGGCAACAACAACTACAACATATGATTGACATGTATGATCCTTATGCAATTGGTGGAGTGAAGAAAATATTGATCACGTCTTATAGATTGTCCTTATGCTTGGATGGTCTTTGAAGGAATATCAAGATCGTGTAATGTGAATACGAAATCTTTTCACACGGTGAATGACATAGTGACTTTCTTTCTCAGTGGGGATCATGCCCAAAAAGGAGAAAGCTACTCTTAGCAATCTACTATGGAACATTATGAAGTATTTGGAAATCAAGGAATGAAAGAGTCTTCAAGAAACATCGGCTACCACCAGATAAAATCAATGATATCAGTAACCTTTCTTTGGGTAAAGAACAGGAGAAAAAAATGAAAGGTTGAATTAGGCAACATGGTCTCAACACCCACTAACTTTTTATGCTTCCTCTTTACTGTTGGTTTCTTATATGTCACCAACTGCGGTTTGTTTGTTTTTCTCCTGTTTATTAATATATGAAAAATTAAATATCCTTTTATTTTTTGTTCTTACCAATCTTCCTACCCATTTAAATGATAACATATATCACATTAATATACTAAAATATCATTAAATGAACATTAAATATTACACATATCATAATTTAATTGGATAGGGGGATTTGTAAGAAAAAAAATAAGATGATATTTAATTTCTCTTAATATATATTTTATTGGCCTTGCCTGTTCAAAAAAGAAAAAAAGGATTCAATTTGACTCACTACCAACTATATTCACACTTGTGTTTTACTACCCGTGAAGGGATCATATATGCTCTTTATACTTTTATCGGCATGATTCATGACATCAATAAAGACCAGGAATAAAACATACCACTTTCATTTATTTTCTTCATAAAATAATAACTACCTTTTAACAATTAACGATTTCAAGATTTCAATATGAATTAAAATAAAGAATAACCAACAAAAGCTTCATAAACTCCTCATCCATCTCAGAACTTCAAAACTAAAAACTGTTATACAACAAAGACAAGAAGTTTTGTCAAACTCACTCTATACTCTTACATTAACACCAAAATTTACATAAAACTCATCAAACAACAATCTTCAATCTCATATTAACAACATCACATACGTATACATCTTTAATTTACATTTTGTTAGGTTTTATTGTAACTCGGATCATGAAGAAAGTGCCAGCTCAGCCCAAGCTAAAGAAGATGCCTTGAGCTCTGAAGAAACCGAAGTGTCGATTTTGCTTTCCAAGATTGCACACAAATCTTGCATTGAGACTTGATCTCGAGGCCTTAAATGAATGCAAATTGAAACCACTTCACATATCACCTTTAAATCTTCATCTCTGAAATGTTTCAGAGCAGGATCAACAACAGAAGCCATTTCTTCTGGTCTTTCAAGATAATCTTTAGCCTGTAAACCAAATTACAAGATTACCCATTAAATGTTTAATATTCTATCATCTTATCATGTTTTAGTTCAAGAAATATGTACAACATTGTATGCACAAAGTACAAAGTTTCAAGTAAGAGTTGTTACCCAATCTACTAAGCATCCTTTATCCTTGCAAAGTGGTGGGCGCCCACTGATTATTTCCAACAAAAGAACACCAAAAGCATAAATGTTGCCTTGGATATCTAATTGTCTTCCTTCCAAAGAACTTGGAAGAACACAAATAGCACCCTCATTGCTAATACAACGTGAGTTATTTTCTGATCTTGTAAGAATCGATTTCCAGCTTTCAAAATCAACAAGCTACAAAAACAAGAGATACACAAGTCAAGATTGACTTCTTAAAATCCTTTTGGCTTCGTTTGTTACACAGGACATGACAGAAAAACATAAGACCCTTTGAAGATTGAAACTTTAAGATGCTAGAGAAACGACCCCTTAATAAAGAATCATATCATATATCAAGATTTTTTTTTTAAATGGCACTTTATGATACTGTAAAAAAACATAAGACCCTTTGAAGATTGAAACTTAATGATACTAGAAATACCAATCACTTTATAAAGAATCACATTGTATATCAAGATTTATAAAAATGGCACTTTATAGAACTAGAAAAACATAAGAGCCCTTACAGATTGAAACTTTTAAGATACTAGAAGAATTGACCCCTCAACAAAGAATCACATTGTATATCAAGATTTGTAAAAAATCGAACTTTATGATAATATAAAAACATAAGACCCCTTAAAGATTGAAACTTTATGATACTAGAAAAGACCTACCTCTTGATAGAGAATCACATCATATATCAAGATTTATAAAAAAATGGCACTTTATGATACTAAAAACATAAGACCCTCTAAAGATTGAAACTTTATGATACTAGAAAAACGACCCCTTAAAAAAGAAACACATCATGTATCAAGATTCATCAAAAAGGGCACTTTTATGATACCAGAAAAACACTATACCCCTGAAAGGTTAAAACTTTATGAAACTGAAACACCAACCTGTTAATAAAGATTCACATCGTATATCAAAAGTTATTAAAAAAAAATGGCACTTTATGATACATAAGACCAAACCCCGCAAGAGATTTAGTGTATACCTTAGGTGAAAAATCTTCTGTAAGATATACTGCACTAGAATTTAACTCGGATATAGTAAATGGTGGTTCAATTTCTGTGTGAAGATACTTTAGACCTTTTGCAATGCCTATAACAATCTTCATTCTTCTAGTCCAGCTTAGTTGACACCCTTCTTCATCTAAAGTAAATAACAGCACAATGCTTTACCTAATGAGATAATATTGCCCCAAGGAGAGAGGAGGAAGGGGGGGACTTACAATGAAGGTGCTCATATAACGTCCCATTTGATGCATATTCAAAGACTAACATTCTTGTAAATGGAGTGCTTTCTATACAATAGCCCAACAGTTTCCCTGTGTTGTCATGATTTAGCCTTGCTAAATCCGCCACCTGAATAATTTCCAAGAATTTAACCAAAACAGAATATTGATAGCTTTCATGATCATATCTAATACATTAATCATTTATGACTTTGACAAAACAGGCAACAAACTATAAAGGATTTTTGGTTCTTGTTATTTGCTTTATACCTCTTTCTGATAATAGAGCTCAAGATAGCCAGTCCAATGCTCTTCTTTGATGCAAAGTGATATCACTGCAATTTCGGGCCCACCTTTCATGGTCCCTTTGTAAACCAAACTATCTGATGAGGAACCGATAATGTTGCTAAAATCTTCACATGCTACTTCAAGTTCATGTCGATTGTATCTCATCACATCTTTCAACACATTCGGATCTACATATAATCATCAAACAAGCATGAATTCAAACATCTTTTTTGCTTTTAATCTTTTTGGGTAACAAACTACTTCTTTTTTACAAAACACCATTGTTCTAAGAAAACACCAAATAGGTTACTAACTATTTGTTTTTGTTTAAAACAATGGTATTTTGTCAACACAAAGTTCCAAGTTGGCATTAACCCAATCTTTTTTCATCAAAGCCCCATTTTGTTATACAGAACAGGACAAGACAAGACAAGATATGACATGACATGACAGGTTGTACTATGTTTGGCATGTACTGGATTTAGACTTGGACTGAAACTGAT